AGTCCACAATAATGATGAGAAAAAAATGATCAGGTAACAAACAACCTTTTAACGCCTTGGTTTGTTACCCAATCACTTTTTTTAAGATAATGGCGTCGTTTAATCACAACCTCGTAATCCTGATGCCATTCTGCTTAGTGTTCTATTTGAGAGCAGGACAGATCTGTTATTGGCCCCCCAAAGGGATACGTTTTATCCTCCTTGATATAATTTTCGTTTTTCCACAACCTAAAAAGTCTTTGTTTTCTTTTTTTAAAACTTTAAGTATCATATTTCCCACAATTTTTGTGTTTTCAGGGACAAGTTTGCGCCAAAATTCCCGGATTTTTTTTCCTTCATGCAGAAAGTTTGAAAAAAATTTCCCGCGGGAGGAACTCTTCTTTTTCACAAATCTGATCGTATTTGACCCATGTTGATTTTACTTTTTTCGCTAGCGATGACTTAAGATTCACTGATTCTAATGTGAGCTGTGAACGTCAGTATCTCCACATGAGTTTATGATGAAAGTTCTTCATTGGTTTCACATTTTTTGTGTAGCATATTTCTTTTCTTATCTTTTTTTTAAAAAAAAGAAAAACATGTTTTGTGGATTCAGAATTTTCATCCCATTCATTAGCCCATCGATCCCTCTTCACTAAACTTGTGCTACTCATTTCATTACCACTCATCAGGCGAGGATAAAGTAATCGAAATTAAGAAGGTAAAATAGAAATGGGTATGAGAACAGAGTCTCAACCGAAGTTCCCAAAGATTTGAGCATTACAAACGAGCCCGAGCGATGCTTTTTGCGTGGGTTCAATCGTAACTTTTACCCATCAAGTAATGGATACTCTCAACATGATTTATCATATTCTGAAAGTTTCTGGCTAGTGAGTGATTTATCAATCTCGCAATTTGCCTTTGCCTAGATTTGAAAGTTTGAATTACTTTTCTTGAGTACTGATTAGGATTTCACTTGTTTCTAATTTTTAATTTTTCTTGATTTATGAAACAATATGTTGAAGAATCTGAACCTTTCCGAATTCTTGGAGGTCTTGCCAAAATTACACACAATGTCAACGGTGTAAGTCGGCAATTTCATAACTCGGTTTGCGAATGCGACGTCGCAGACTTCCTGCCATACTTTATTTTTTAAACGGAAAACCACTCAAAGGCAATTCTTTAAAACTGCCGTGATTTTTCTTCTCTTCTCTTCTGAATTAAATCCTGCATGAACTTCAAGGAGTGATGTCAATTTGTTATCCTTTAAAAAAATAACATAGAGGCGGAGATTTTCAGACACCGCAAACAAGATATGTGATTGCAGATTTACACCGTCGATGTCTTCCATACGATAAGAAAACAATATACTTCAGTTGATAGTTTTAAAGCGAAAGTTTTACAATATAGCTACTTGTAATAAAATTAAAGCGCGTGTTTGACTTACTTTTTTCGAAAACTTACTAATTTTTGCGGAAGAACTCTCATTCATGGAGATTCTTGGCCATCTTGGTTTCATATCGGCACCCTCCGGCCAAAGTATCACAAGCGCCATCGACGTTTCAGAATTTCCGCCGCTATTTTATTTTTTTACACAGAGATTTTTGGTTGAATCCATTTGAAAATTGCACTGAATTTTATCGGCAGCACAAAGAAATTTCAGTGAAACTTTTTGACAACTTCGTTGAACAGTTTTTCGGTAAAAAAATAAAATGGCGACGGAAATTTTCAAACGCGTCGTACGGCGCTTGTGATACTTCGGCCGGCAGGGTACGATATTGGAGTCTGGAGATTCGCAGTGACAATTTTTGTTTTAAAGGGTTTGCTCCCCTATTATGCCGTGCTAAAGAAGAACGCCGTATAATTGACTTAAATACATTCGAGAGTGGCCAAATATCCCCGAATAAAACATGTACTTTTGAAGAAAGTTATGCATTTTCTCCTTGAAATTTCATGCTTTTTAGATAAAATTAGAAAATCCTCTTAAAAATTTGAGAAAAAATACTCACAAATTTTCTGAAAGCTCATGATTTGTCGAGGGAAATTTAGCAATGCCTAAAGGTTCGCACGGTGTTCTTCCTTAGCAAGGCAGTATTGGGCTCTAAGAGCAACACATTTCGGCATGTCTGCTCTCTCCTTGTATAGGTACTCTATACTCATGATTCATGAATGGCTTATATTTTGCAATAAGGAACCACTATTTCTGGCTCATTTTAGAAACAACATAAATGCGATTGGTTTCCCTATGCAGAAAGGTGCTTTTATAGATGGGTCATAGGTAGTGGCTCCTCATTGCAAAACGTAATCCAAATAATATTGCAAAACAGGGTTCAAATCGATGAAATTCCTATAATCGATCCTGTAAACTACAGATTTGCATTGAGTCATTGGTTATGTTCTTCGCGGTGAATCGTCATCCTTTGCGATATTCCTATTCTAACCCCAGGAAACACATTCATCGGACGAATTGAGACGACGAATAAAAGTGAACGACCCATGCACCGGATCCAACTAAATCGCGGTTCACGGGTTTTTGCCCCTGCGTCGTAAAGGAATCTCGACAGGGATGCCAGATGATGTATAATTTTATGGAATTAAATAAAAAGAACAAAGTCTAGAGTAGAGCCCCTTAATACCGAGAGTAAATACAATACGAATCCATTTCTGATTGGTTCCGGTATTTTAGGCCTTCACAGTGTCAAAAACCGGAATGAAGATTACATTCTTACCAATCGCAAAGATTATAAACTGGAATGGACCGGGGAATGGAGATGTTGCATGTGTGAGGAATTTGCGATTTGACTATAGATTCTTATGTAAAAAATCGCGAGAAACACGATGGTGCCACTGGTTTTCTCTGAAATCAACTCCCAAGCTCAAAAAAAGCTCTCAAGTTGAGGCCAAAATGGAGGGGATATCCCACGCTATCCTGAGAGTCCACCTCTACATCGAGACATAAACTCTCCATGCAAAGATAGGAAGCAAATACATTAGCAGGGTTGCCGTGTTTTCAGTTTTGGAGTCTCCAAGTACAGTGTTTCTTGCCAACTTTTACGAAAGAATCAATAGTCAAATCGCAAATTCCTCAAACATGCAACATCTCCATTGCGATGTATCGATTTTTATGTCATTGAAACATATGGTAAAGTATCGATTATCAAAATCTTCGCCGCAAACACCCTGTTTATCGATCCTTTTCCATAGGTTTAAATGGCATAACAATCGATACATCGCAATACGCATCACGCCACTGATATCGATTCAACAATCGAGCCGCAGCAATGGCAAAAGACAACTTTACAAGTCAACGCTATTTTACGTCCAATGATGATTGATGAGCAACTTGTCGGGCAAAACTAATCAAATATAAAATTTGCCTCATGATGAATGATGAATGTCGGTGTGCGCACTTTCCCCTGGCGGGTTTTTGCGAATAAGAGTAGGACTACTGAAGAAACAGCACGGCTTTTCGAGCATCTGTGTTTATGAGGTGGGTCTGAAAATTGACTTCCGAAAGTAACTTTTCCAATATAGAAAAGATAAGACTGCGGAATCTTCATAATAGGACGCGTTTATACTAAAAGGAACTATGTCACACGCAATCCCTATGCACTTAGTTCCTTTTAGCATAAATACGTGCAATATATTTTCTACGTTTCTAATTTTGAACTCGGTGATGACATAATATTTCGAACTTCGTCTTCTCTACGAGTCTGTTGCAAACTTCAGCTGGAGCAGAGAGAGGAGTCATTTCTTACGTAAAATGGCTCAAAAATCATGATGAGCGCAAGGAAAGTCCGAGATAAACTTCTAACTTCAAAATTTACATAGGAATCATACGTATTTTTAAGCTTCCCGCTGCAAAAACGATCCTACAGCACAGGTGAACACTTCGTGAGAGAAATCGTTCCAGCCAACCCTTGCGCACTAGGATGCTACGCAATATTCAACATGGCCGACACCAACCCGCCAAAACACACGTGACAAGTCTAAATTGTATCAACCATCGTGTCTATATTTACATCATACCTGCGTTGATGAAGACCATGGTGCTTCTTCACGATTTGTGCGCGTAATCGTCTGCCATGTTGAATATTGTGTAGCATTTTAACGTGCAAGGGTTGGATGGGACACAACTCCTCTGACGAGATTTGCACTTCTGCCGTAGTATATCGTTTTTGAAGCGGGAAGTTTTAAAACACGCATATTCCTTACGGAGATAGTGTGAAGTTAGGAATATATTTCAAATTTTCCCGATGTGCTCATCGTGACTTTTGAGTCATTTTCTGTGAGGAACACCTCTTTTTTTTTTTTTTTTTTTTTTTTTTTTTTTTTTTTTTTTTTTTTTCTCTAGCTGATATTTGCACCATGCACATAAGCTATCGATAAAAATGGGCTCCTTTCTTCTAAACTCGCTTTAATTACCCTATTCATCTGTTACACGTTTCTATGATATGCAGTATAAATTTGGCAACAATGGTGCTCAGCGGAAACGCAATAACGCACTGGTGACACAATAAAAAAGGGCAAGCGAGTCCTCGGAAGAAGGGTTAAGAGTTTCCGCTTCATAATTTCTCCCCGTAACGAGTGGGGTTCCACTGCGTCCCTTCGTAAAGGGAGGGTACGATTCGAATGCGGATAGTTAAATTTTGTTGGCTAATTTTCGATCGATCGCTTGCATCCATTGGTCCCTGGAGGGTTTGCCCAGCTGTGATGGGCTCTCTCCGAGATGCCGATTAAAAATTGGCGGAATGTACCCTTGGGAAAGGAACAACATGAGATAGAGGAATTTATTTGGAGGAAAAAATTTCATATTGGTCAGGATATGAAATAGTTCTGCATACCGAAAATAGTTATGCTGCGCAAATAAGAGATGAGATCTGACTGCGTGGGGTGTCTTAGCGAATATTTCAGACATGTTTGAGATATGATCCTTGACTCGAAGTATCCATCTCCCATAGGGGGAATGAACTTATCAAAATTTGAACACAAAAAAGTGGATGAAAATTGAGACCAATAAATTCATTCAAAGGTTTTTATTGAGAATTCTGTAATTTGCCTCCCTTATCTATCAAATATATCCTCCAGAATAGTTTCTAAAGTTACAGTACTCAAAAGTTAAGATCAAATGATCATCGATTCTTACATTACTAAAAAGTGTATCAACATTAGTGGAAGTAGTACTCTGTTTTTTTGAGAATGGTATGTGAAAATTGAAGAACACAAAAACGCAGTTTACTCACTGATGGGTTGAATTTGGAAATTCGATTTCTTCCATCGTCCTTGACCTAAAATTACGACGGCAAAACCATTTATCGTGGTGCTTAAATTATTTTTCTTTTGAGTGGTCCATTCACAGAAAAAAATTAAATTGCTGATTTAACAATTCAATTGCTACAAAAAAGTGACTGCAATGTTTCAATGTAGATTTTGCAACACAAAAATGCTACTATAAACACCATCATAGTTAAATTAGCTTATAATAGTGGTTAAAGCAGCAATTTTTTGTTGCGATGCATTGAAACATTTCAGTCACTTGTTTTAGCAATTGGATTGTTAAGTCAGCAATTTAATTTTTTCCGTGTTGTGACAATAAGTCTGCAGCATCGCAAACCAAGTTAAGCGTTTTTGCAATTTAATATGTCATCACCATCATTTACCTTCATTAATGTGAACCTTGATGGCCTGCTCCACGTGTTCATCGTATGGTTACAAACATATGTTCCCAAGAGCAAAAGGCACCCGAAAGCCGAGCAAAAAGCTGCGGCTTTGTCGAGGACGGTCGAATTTTGGAGGTGGCCGGGAGATAGGATCACACTGATCGGATGTGGGGTGGGAAGGGGGGGTGTAGAATTAGGGGTGTCATTAGAGCGAAAAGTAGACGTTTCTGTGAGGTGGATGCTAGACGAGTCGTGTCCGTGCCGTGTTATGAGGGCGTTATAGAGTCATTGGAGGACATTAGCGTGTCGGCCAAATTACCCACTTCGCCGGGAGCCACGCCGCGCGACGTTGCCAGAGACGCCCCCGACTTGAGGATTCGGCTCATGGTTTCTCGTGTCCCATCTAAAGAAACATACGATCAGAACGATAGGTTTTTGAGGAATTAAATTAGAAGAATTGAGTGCACCAATAATTGAGTAGTTGGGTGCCAAAAGGGAATTTTTTGGTTGCAGTGTCTCAGAATCTCCACTGCTGATTTATATAGAGTGTCTCAGGATTAAGTGCGACTATTGAAGGAATCAATTTTTGGGTCAAAAAAGACGTTTCGGTGATATGACTTCTTTTCCAAAAACGCTTAGTAGAGAATTAGATTAAGGCGGTATTTGTTATTGAGTCAGAAAAAGAGTAATCATCACGAATTTCATGCAAATTAATTCGTTTTTAATTTTTGTGTTTACTTCCTTACAAAAGAAAGTTTGGTAGAATTACCATTCCTTCACGCTGTATTTCACACAGCGTGAAGGAATGGTAAATTCTACCAATCTTCAAGTTGATTCTGCCAGAAGAATGGTTACGTGTACAAGTATACGGTAACGTTTACCTTTTTTCTGGCAGAATTGACTCTAAGTTAACGCTGTGCGAAATACAGCGTGAAGGAATGGTAAATTCTACCAATCTTTCTTTTTCAGTGCACTTATCCGACCATACATGAACATATATTGAACAAATGGTTATCATTTCGTAAGGTTTCTACTCTGCATGCATCTCCTGAACATCTAATCCGGTCTAATGGACCCTCTGACTCTTACATGAATTGGAGAATTAATACATTTTTATCATAAAAACCAAAAGAAAACTCCGTATATTAATCAAAGGATATTAAATTGACAGTCGCGTTTTCGAAAATATGTTTTAAAACGATAGATGTTTGTAAAGTAATAGTTTAAGTCCGTCTTATCGTACCTGGGGAGTTTGTAGTTTTTGATACATTCTCTGAAAGGAAGGAATCGTTCTCAGTTCTTTCATGAAAGGGCTGATCGTCATCACCAGTAATTTCCGATATGATATATTTTTTTGGTAAATAGAACAGATAAAATATCGCAAATATAATTTCAACGGCACAGATCATCTAGACATCATAAAACAGGTTCCAGATTAGTGTGAAAGAGGCAAATTTTCTCCGTGTCAACAACTGTTATTGTGCCACAAGGATCTATAGAATTGGGGTTTTTTCCGTTGTTCTTAATGTCATGAATTGAATTAGCATTTCAAAATACCACAATCCATGTAGTGCCCCAAAGCGCAGTTGTTAATTAAAATTTTTTCAAAATGTATTCTCATCTTCCTCTTCCTACTCCTCTCTTTCTTCTTCTCCATTTATTTTTCTACTAATGACTGGGGTTTGGCCCTGTTTATCGAGTACATATAAATCACTAAAGAGTTTACAATTTCTGTAAAAAAAATTATTTTGTTTTAAATTTTTTGAAAGAGTAAAACATAGTATATTCCATAAAAAATGATTACTTGCCTGAAGTTTAATAAAACAAAAGCAACTTTTTTGGTTTGCTTAGTGTTACTCTGCGTTTCCTTAAAGTCTATTCAACGCGTGGAACAAACTCACCGCGTTAACTACATCACAAACAAATTGAATTTAGTACCTACATAACAGGATAAAACATTGCACACTTCAACCTGAGTTCAGAAGCCACATGACTGACTTGGGTAGTAAATGTCAAGGAATAAGTGGCCCATAGTTCCATGATTCAATCAGTGGGAGGACAAATCAGTTGGTATTATGGACCATCAAAGGAGCCATAAAAATTAATGATGGTAATCTCATCTTTATGATAGGACCTATTGGCACATTTTTTTGCACATCGTTGTACGGAAAAGTCACGCGAGTGTCGAAATCAAAACAATAGACGCAGACAATCTCTACTACCTAAATCATCATTAACACACTCATTTGCGAGAGGTTTTATTGCCTCCTTCTCTTTATCTCTGCAAAGCAGAACGAATTGCTTGATTAAATCCTAGGTCTACTTTATCGCGACATTCCTAAGTCGTTATTTGTCACTCGTTGTGTGTAAGTATTCACATCAGAAACTTAACTAAAATGTTGGAGGAGAGGATTTTAAAATCGCTGAATTGAATATATGTGTACCACTGGAGGAGAATTCTATGTATTTAATATTATTGTATTGAATTAAAACTGACGAGAAAGTTGAGCGTGATAATTAAATTGAAGAATTGTAATCAAACGTTTCTTCTGCCAATAAAAAGTCAATATTTTATTGGGCCAAGTAAAAATGGTTTTTTCACCTCTCTGAACGTAGAAAGTCGCTGTTTGGACACATCTTAATATTTTTAGCTGATCGAAAAGAGTCAAGCATAAAAGCTCGACTCTGAGACCAGCGCAACTGACCCATTATCAATCATTACGAAGCAAGTTACACGCTCAACATGCAACAAGTAGCTTATAAGTTATCATATTCAGCTATGCCTTAATGTAACTTTTGCTCCATCTTGTTACTCTCTTTAGACTTTTAGTGACATAGGGTACCTACAATACTGCCCATGCTAAGGAAGAAAGCCGTATGAGCCTTCAGACGTTGCCACGTCTCCTCTGATAAAAACCGAATATATTGGAAACATTGTGAATATTATTTTCCAACATTTACAGACAATTTTTTACGCGATTTAATCTAAAATATTTGAAAATTTCAAGGAAAAATAAAGATGAATGTTGTCAAAAATACACGTTTTATCAAGGGAGATTTGGCGACTCAAGAACGTTCATAAGGGGCGTTTTTACTTAGCACGGCAGAATAAGTTGTTGATATCGCTACCAATGCACTGACGTAATCCACGAAAATGCAAAAATTCCAATTTTTGGTAGTCTTTTAAATGTATCAAAAAGTACTGAATTTTTGCTCAGTATGAAGTGATTAATTTTTCGGAAAGGTATACTGAAAAAGAATTTAAAAAGTACTTAATATCTGCCAGCCAGCTTTAGTTTAGTAGACGCCCTATTTATGCGACACAAGAATCCCAACATTAAAAGTTGGCAGTTTCGAAAACGCCTTCAATTGTAGCGTGATACCTTACGCATTCCGCAGAGTACGAATAGTTGTATCATCGCGCCTTAGCAATGCGATGGAAGATTAATATTGGTGTGGCCCTCTCGCTGGCCTTGTCGGTTTTCCTTTGTCGCTATTGCCAGTATGAGCCGCATATTCAAAAGGTGCTCAAGGAAGGATTGTATTTAGCGACTGGATATTTTTTTTGGAATAATTACAAATAATCACGCGGTATAATAGGAACTCAAATCAACGATCATCTTAAAGGTACCGAAAAAGGACTGCATTTTTTCTGCTTATAAGCGGTACTAAATTCTTTGGAAAGGTACTGAAACAATTCTCTAAAAATACTAAACAAATACTCTAAAAATACTTTAAAAATACTCTACGATTTGGGTTGATTCGACGCGAAATTGTGTTGATCGACCAAGCTTCTTGGGTTATCCCCCACAAACAAATAATAGAGTTTAACACTAAACGCGGAAATGTTTAACTGTGTAGGATCGCTCCATTTACACTGCCGTGCTGAGAAAAAACGCCGTATGACTATTCGAGAGTTGTCAAATTTCCTTCGATAAAATGTTTATTTTTAAGGAGATTAATAAATATTTTTTCTCGAAATTTTGAGGAGCTTCAAGTGAAATTGCGAACAAAATTATCAGAAAAATTGGGGGAAAAAATAATTTATAAGTTTTTTCAAAAATTCGTGTTTTATCAAAATAAATTTGGCAACGCCTGACGGTTCACACAGCGTTTTTCATTAGCACGGCAGTACAGAATTAGAGTACCTTTACAGGGAGAGTATGGACAACTCGATTTATGTAGCTCTTAGGACCCAAAAGGGCGACAACGTGAAAAATGAAATGCCGCTGCCAACCTGTGCATTTGAAATAGTAATCAATAGGGCCGACAACGCGTCGTAAACAAGCGTTTTTAAGGATTAAAATTTTGAAACTGAAAAAAATTCATGCGAGATTAAAGTTTTATACGTGCTTTTATAGGTATCGATCAGTGTACACGTTGTTAAACATCAACCATGTGGGTAAGTCAACAGTAGAATGCTGAAGTCCCGAAAGTAAAAGCCTCCACCATGGCCATGATACTATAGTGGAGGGTATCTTGTCTCTGTACATGACCTGATCAAACCTAACCTCCAAATTTTCGAGTTGTTCATACTCTCCCTATGAAGGTACGCTAACAGAATGAAGCTCCTAATTCTCCTACCTGTTTCACCAGTGCTGATCAAGTTGTTGCTTGTCTGTCCTCAGGTGAAGAGTCTTGCCGTGCACAATAATTACAAGGATTTCGGCAACGAGACTGTGTCAACGTTCGTGACTGCGTTCTACGATGCCGTTCTCCTATACGCGCTCGCCCTCAACGAAACCCTGGCTGTAGGAAAGCAACAGAGGGATGGAGCCGAGATTACCAGGCGCATGTGGAACAGGACTTTCACAGGTAACATTCAATCGATTCAAATTAAAAAATGTGCGCTCAATGCAAAGGAAAAATGAGACGGGGAGGGCGGAGCAGTCTAGCAAAATAGAACTATGCTGCCGCAGTAAGGAAAAACTTCGTATGAACTTTTAGGCGTTGCCAAATTCCGATTGATAAAACACAAATTTCCGGGTAAACGCATGGATATTTTTAGTCCAATTTTGCAGATAATTTTGTTTGTAATTTCATCGAAAGTTCCTGAGAATTTCTAGGGGATATATTCATAGCTTTCTTAAAAAATGAACATTTTATCGAAGGAAATTTGGCAACTATCGAATGTTCATACAGCGTTCTTCCTTAGCATGGCAGTACTGCCGTGCCATGAAAAAACACCGTTTGAGCATCCATATGTTGCCACATTTTCAGCGATAAATCATATATTTTTGAGGAAAGGTGTGCGTATTTTTCCTTGAAATCTTTCGATAATTTGGATTGAAGTGCAAATGAAATTCTATGAGAAATTAAGGGGAAAATATTCACAGGGTTTCCAGAGAATTTGTGGTATTTTTTTTCCAAGGAAAAACTGCAACATCTGAAGACTCATACGATATCAGTATACCCAATTGTGATGAAATGAATAATTTACTGAAGGTAATAACTCTCGAATGTTCATACGGCGTTATTTCTTAGCATGACAGTATGAGTGAGGCGTATTGTATGAACACGGCAAAGAGCTTTTTTCAGACTTTCAGAGAATCATGGAAACCTAAAGCATAATTTTTAAGGTATTTTTTTTTAATATTCAGATAGCAAGAGGAAAATTTCCCAAAATATCTATAGAACGTCCCGTTAATATTGTTCTCATCGGATTACGTTTTGAAATAACCAAAGAGAAAATAAAAGTTCGCTTTGAAGAGCAAACATGCGTGACCGCCTGGTCTTCCCGCGCTTGCTTTTCAGCCAATCAGACACTTGACGCACGGTGGACCGAGTGGTCGGACATGAAATTTTTGACTAAAAAAGCAAATCTCACTATTTATTACGTCACAAATTATATTTTAAGGGGTGCCTCTAGCAGAAAATTTTACGAGACCAATTAAACTACTTTTAAAATCTCAAAGTTTTGTATGAACGGAGTTGTGAGCTTTCAAAGTTGCCAAATTTTGTCCGAACTCCCCCGTTGACTTGATCCACTGTGCGATGATCACGTTTTAACTCCTCGTGGAAAATAAATAACATGGGAAAACGAAACATTCGAAACCTTTGTTTTCAAATTCGGCAGAAAAAATATCCCATGCAGAGATTCAGAGGCTCAGATATCTACCTCTCATACATGAAGTGGAATGCAACAGCTATAATTTAATTTTTCACTCTCTGAAAAAGTCGAGTTTACCCGGCTTAGGCTCAAAGGTTTGATCTCCTCAAGAAGTTAGGGATAATGAGGTTGGTTGTCAGTCTCGCAAAATTGGAAAGCCTCTCTGCTGTTACTGCTTTACTTTTTGCGGAGGGTGTAATTTAGAGTAATTTACATTTGAAGCGTAGGCGCATTTTATTTTTATTTATAGTGTGTTCTAACTCAAACGGAAAAAAATCCTCCAGTGGAGCTCTTTTAAACCTTGTCAAGTATGAATTCTATCTCGTGTCGGATCATGGAAATTCAAAAATACACCCC